AAGTATTCACCAATATAGTAAGGAGCTTTTAGTCAACAAAAAAGGGGAAACTTTTTCCTTTCCAATTGGAAAAGTCAGTATGGTGCGATCTAGTTGTTCGATCGCTCTCCATGTGTTCATTCAGTTGTACATTAATAGCTAGGTAGGACATTAGTCAGACGGGCTACGGATGTGATGTCTCAATGAAAAATGTTGAGCAAAGACTCACCTTTTCAATGAACCAAAAATCAAGTTATTTGATTCAGAACTGCAAAAGTTATTGATGTTTGAAGATTTCAAAAACCTGTCTTCAAAATCAAGGGCCAAATTTCAGGTATTGTTACAGGTGGGTTTTTGATGATTTTCAGCCTTTATTGTTAGTAAATTAACCAATATCTGCGTGTAAAATACAAAAAAATACTCATCATGACGCCCCAGCATCTAGGAACAAGGTGCATATTTTGTCAGATTTTTAGCTCTCTTCTTGGTGCCTCAGGACTTTTCTACGTCAGTAGTTTTCTTTACCACCCGGTAAAGATTACATTTGGTGTAGTGTTGAGTGAAGGGGAGGATAGCGAAGTGGAGATCTAAGCGGGACAATCAGAGCAGGGAGGTAGTGATCGGAGGGGTGTGAGAAGTTGGTTCGATTGAAGAAACTAACTAAATTGGAAACAAGGAAGAGAAAGGACGGATCAGTTAGAAGATACACAAGTAGAAAGAAAGAAAAAAAAATCAGAGAGAAGAGGATCTTACAATAGATAGAAATGAATTAAACTAAACAAGAACTCGTGACCAAGTCAAATCAAATCGGAGTCGAAGCGTCTAAAGCAATATCAAGCAAATATGTAATAAGTGGGTCAGGAGAGTGATGATGGGATAGAAGCAAAAGAAAAGAGGAGAATTACATAAAAAACTGACATAAAACTGAACAACGGATCGAAAAGGACGGAGTTAAGGCCTGTCAAGGAAAAACGGACCGATCGATTGATTGATAAGATAAGATAAGGCCGAGTTGTGGTTGAGGTTGAGAAAGGATATAAAAGGGCATTGATCTGTTTGCATCTGGGTGTTGGAGGGGATGGGTGTGTGTGTTATTGTGTGCGTTTTTGAAAGTGGGTCCGAGTGTCTGTGTGCGTTTTTAAAGGTGTCATCGATTTCGAGTTTTGTTAAAAAGGAGTCTTCAAGTGTTCTAGATAAGAAAGATAAAGAGATAGAATAGTTTTGTTAGTTATACAATTATTAGATTAAGAAGTGAAAGTTCAGAATAAAGTCTTACCTTGATTAAGAGAATCTTGTATTCGATTATTGTTGTTTCTTCTTGTTAGTTAGCTGGTGCTGAGGAGTTCATGCTGAGCTGAGTCAAAATCTAGTCGTGGAGTCGGCAATTTCAAGTCTGTATCAAAACCAACAGCCCGCCTCTTGATCCATGTCGAGGCCGGGTCGAGTCGGGGTCCAAAACTTCATTTTGGCCCTGTGCATTGTTACATGTGCTACCTAGCCGTGTTAACATAAAAATCAACGTAGTTTTACACCACAACGTCGTGTAGAGTTGTGTGTGGTATCATCGGAGTCTGGCAAACCTTGCGGATCCTTTGGAAATCTCAAATTTGTGTTACGGGAGGAATTTGTGGGGATAGAAGATTGTTAAGAGTTGTTCTAGTTCTTTCTGAACTGCAATAATTTTAAGGTTGAAGGCAGCGTAAAAGCACCGTAGTATCATCCGCTCTCTCAAGTGGTGATTCTTACCTTCTCTGGCTCAGCCTACGCTACACTGCGTAGGAGTTCTACATCTGGTGACTCCACTGGGGCAATTTGAAACAACTTCTGCTTCTCCGCGGGTGCTCTTTTGCATCGTAGTTTCG